AATCATGTTTTCCACGTCGTCTGGCAGTTTGAATGAATGATCTATGAAATTGACCTTTCCCATTGAAGAAGAGGCTCCTTTAATTTTTATTATCTTTGCTTCATTCGATCGCCTGGATTTCTATACGATTCTTTGCGTTTTCTTGTGGTTTCGTTTTGCTTGTTTTCCGTCTGCCTGGCGGTTGATTTTTTTTTTCTTTTTTTTTCTCGCTGTTGTTTGCGGTTCGTTTGTGTATCGCCGTTGATCTTGAAGTTGTGCGTTGGATTGTGAAGTTTGAACTCTTCGTTGTTTGGACCTTGTGTTTTAGGTTGTAGTTCGAAACTTAGGAGGTATGGTTTCTCCGCCGACGGGGGAGCCAGGACAGGTAAAGCGCGCGGTGATCGATTCGTCGGCTGGCGCAATTGCTGGCTGTGTATCTCGGACGGTCACGTCTCCTCTCGACGTGATTAAGATCAGGTTTCAGGTCGATTTTGGTTCCATTTGCTGCAATTGTTTGATTTTTAGGTAAAGTAGAAGAGAGAAGAAACAAATGTTCGAAGCCACGAATTTAGGTTTTACGTTATAGGCTGTAAGAGCGAAAACGAACTTCAATTTTTCTCATCCTGCGAGAAAATTAACATAGATGCTGGATGAATTTGTGGTTGTTTTATTATTTTAGTTCGAAGTTTCAATCTGTTACTAGTCTTTGAAGATGCATTGAGAAATTTTTCTTTCTCCGATGTTGTCCATTCCACTTCTTCTGTTCAGTGCCTCACTGTGGCTTTCTCTTGCGTAGCAGGATAGAGGCGTGGATATTAAGATTTTAATTATTCCAATTAAACTCTGTACGCTTGGAATTTTCATTGTAGAAATAGTGTCTTTATTTCATGATAGTCGTTTTGCGATTAACATAACTGTTGCCTATCGCCAATGTTTAGCATTTTATGCGAAAGAAAGGCCTCATTCCTGCTAGCTACGGGGTAAAATGTCCAGAAAATGTTGGAATTTAGTTATCTCTTGGTGGAAAGTACAAATTTATTCCATGCAGGAATTCCAGTGCCATGTCTACGTCCTAATGAGACTTCTACTTTTAGTTTTGCTAATTTGAATCACTGTCCATTGTATCTATCTGTGATGAATGCTTATGCTCGCGTTCTTTCGACAGGTTCAACTGGAGCCGACAACTAAATGGGCTTTGGTTCAGAGAAGTTTGTCCGGACCATCAAAGTACACTGGCATGCTCCAAGCAACAAGGGATATTTTCAGGGAGGAAGGCTTACCGGTATGTTGGTTATACATGTTTAAAAATAATGTAATATGCATTAACCAATCAACATATTATGTTGTTCAACTTGATTATTAGTCTCTTTCTTGTTTACATATTTACATTTGGTCAGTCTCACTAATGCAAGGAAGGATTACGGCATTTGGAAAGATGTTTTTGGAATTTTTTTTGTAGGAACAGATTCTTAAGGGAAATTAAGTCGCTTCCTTAATAATTGATAATGGAGTCGTAGGGATTGAGAATAAGGAAAGGAGAGATGATGTTTTTTCTAATCACATGGTCACGAAAGTTCTTTGATGAAACTAAAGGTATTTATGGGAGATCGAATAAAAATTTGTTTACAAAAGGATTGATTGAAAGCTATAGCTAATGCAGAAAAATTCAAACAAAACTTCACTCGCATCTTCATGAAGTTGCTGATCCTAAAAAGTTCAATTTCAATCCACTGTTTATTCATTCTTGGTCTTGTTAATTGAGACATAATTAGTTCTTAATCACGGGATAATACTATGCCAAAGTCGAATAAGTAAAGCTTTTAATTTTTCTTATTGCCTTTGAAGGCTCTAAATGCTTATGTTTTGTTCCTGTTCTGTTGTATACTTCCTTCCAACTCTATTTTTGTAACATCAAATGCTGAATGTTTTTCTCCTTTTTCCTTTCTGTGAATTTCATGCACCCTGGAAATTATAGCATGATATACTTTTCCACTTCCAAATCATTTCAATTGTGTTTATCTTTCGTGTAATTCACTCAGAGTCTCTTGTTATAGGGTTTTTGGCGCGGTAATGTTCCTGCTCTGCTCATGGTTATGCCATATACAGCTATACAGTTTACTGTGTTGCATAGACTGAAAACATATGCTGCTGGTTCTTCTAAGACAGGTACTATTTAGCACTTACATCAGATGAATTTCTTTATTGCTGTATTATTTATCCATTCTAAGTGGAATAGTTTTTCTTTTAAGTTGGGTAAGTTATCTGGGAGATAAAATGGTGGAAGGTGCTCCCACAACCATCCCGAGTTAATCTAGTAGTTATAGAGATAAACGATCTTTGAGATTCAAATCATAGTAATTATCTAGGATACTGATACTGATGTTGGAGGAGCAAAAAATTTTCTGGCCTCGGTCTAAATTAGCCATATACCCGTACCCGTAGTTATTAAATAATAATGATAGATAAATAAATGTTTTATCCCCCTCATCCTCCTTCCCTTAAATTAGCATAGTGGAAGAAAGATTCATGTTCTTAAATATTAATGCACTTTAAGCTGTATTTGACTCTCTCTCTCTCTCACTCATTCCCCTCATCCTCCTTCCCTAATAGTGGAAGATTCATGCTCTTTATTTTCGTTTGATGTATTCTTCTTAGAGTGGCTTTAAGCTATAGATACAACACAATGTTCTCTTCTTTCAATGAAATAAATGATACGGTGATACTAAACATTCTTGCCTGAATCCAGGAAGTTGATGCTTTGTTAGGTTACACAGGTTCTTTGATTCGGACATCAGATGCCAATACTACTTGGCATTCAGAATTTAATTGTTTCTGCCTTTTTATTTATCAATTTTTCTTGTTTTTATCTGATGCAGAGGCCCACTCACGGTTGAGCCCTTATCTTTCATATATCAGTGGGGCACTAGCGGGGTGTGCAGCAACCGTTGGATCATATCCGTTTGATCTTCTTCGAACTATACTGGCTTCACAGGGTGAACCTAAGGTACAGAATCTGATCAATGACTTATTTTATATTAGGTCTCGTCTACAAATTTAAAGAATGATCTATATGTTGGTACACCTGTGTAGAATATAGAAATAGATTACATTTTCTCTTTAGAGAAAATGAATGAAGAATAATAGGTGTGGACAAATGCATACAAACAACTTTATTCTAGCATCAGCTTCTTATGATCAATATATGAGCATGCCACTTGGCTAAGAAGCCTTTGAGTTTGTTTTCCAATAGAATCGATACCATGTTCATCTAATAACCGTCGTTGTAGTTAGTAATGTGGCTATTGTAATGACGGGTCATACTCCCTGTGAGTTGGCTAGTGGTTCCATAACTTAAATTTAATATCTTACTAGTTACCTTGGCAACTAAATGTAATAGAGTTAGGCAATAGTTGAGGTTCCATAACTTCATGTTGTGTATGCACTTGTTTTAGTAAAAGATTTCTTTCAAGAAGATTCCTGATGCAAGAGTAACAATATGTTGTGTAAATATGTAGATATATCCAACCATGAGGTCTGCCTTAATTGATATAATTCGAACCCGGGGGTTTCGAGGATTATACGCTGGATTGTCACCAACACTTGTTGAGATTGTTCCTTACGCGGGTCTACAATTCGGCACCTACGATACATTCAAGCGATGGACTACAGCAAGTTTTCTATAACATTCTATTTTCTTTTACGAGCGGATATTGTTGTTTCTTTCTTATCTCACAGTTTTCCTCGAAATGATGAATTGCAGGTATGGAACCACCGCCGCTACCCCAATTCTGGACGAGCTAAAACGGAAGATGGGCTCTCAAGTTTTCAACTTTTTCTTTGTGGGTTAGCTGCTGGCACATGTGCAAAACTTGTTTGCCATCCACTTGATGTGGTTAAAAAAAGATTCCAGGTACACAGCTTAGCTGGTTTCGATTATTATTGTACAGTATTTATCGCACTTCAAAAGACGCTTTAGTATGACTTTTGAAAGGATGAAACGACACATTTAAATGCCTCCTTTAGAAGAAGGAACGCACTTTACACTTTTAAAAAATCCATCCCAAATTCATCTTATCAAGTCCTCCGTTGATTCATTTTCCACAGATCGAAGGGCTACAAAGGCACCCTAGATATGGAGCTAGAGTGGAACAGGCCTATAGAAACATGTTCGATGGCTTGCGGCGAATTTTGAAAACCGAAGGCGCTGCAGGACTCTATAAAGGCATAATCCCCTCAACAGTAAAAGCAGCCCCGGCTGGCGCTGTCACGTTTGTGGCTTACGAGATTACATCAGATTGGCTCGAATCTATTTTGACTTGATTCTAACATTGTTGATTATGCATTTTTTTTTCGTATCTAATTCTTTCCTGTAGGTTCAACAATAGGATGCCCCCCCATACGAAAAGGGCTGTTCTTTTTCTTTTTTTCTTTTTTACATCCTTTAGATTGGATTGGAGAAAAATGTAGAGATGACAGTGCTTTTAAGGTAGATAGTAATTTTGCCAAAAAGCACAAAATAAACCTCGAGGTTTATCCTCATTAATCATGAAGTGATTCGGTTTATCATAATCAATGAAAACATTCTTGGCAAGTTCTTTCATAGTGTGATGTCTCTTGTATATCTAAGAATTTCGCTACAAACTATGAATTTTGAAGCCCCCAATTATCCCTGTTAATATGATCAAATTTCATGACGTTATCCTATGATAATGTATACCGAGCATAGACTTACTTTAAACACTCTAATTTTTTCAAAATAACAGGCCTATTTTATATTTATGTGAATTTCATATTTTTAAATATACATTTCATATTTTTAAATATACAGTTGATAATAGATTTAAAAATTACATTGCATATCAAATATGCTTTAAATATTTTAAAATATCTAGTAAATTTTTAATTCCATTTTGTATTTAACTTTTAAAAGTTTATACCTATATAGTTTTTTATTTTAGTTTTTGAAAAATTGTATTTATTTTGTCATCAATTCTTTTAATGAAAGTTAGAAACTCTTAGTAAAATTCTAAAAACAAAAGCTATTTAGGGAGCAAAAGAAAATATAATCTAAAATAAAAGACACAAAAGATATGGATCTAAAACCTCATCTTAGGGGAGCAACGCCCCTTCCCTCGTTTTCTTGGCTCCATTCCTGAAAGTAGTTCAACATGTTAAAAATGACTTTCAAAATTTAGTACAAAAAAATTAAGTTCAATAGTTAGTTCACCAAAAAAAAAAAAAAAAAACCTGTTATTAAGGAACCTTCTTTTTCTCTCTAAAAGACTGTCCTCTGGTGGCAGAGACAGAAACTGCAAAATCGTCTGTATTTGATGGACGCTGACATTATTATACCTTTCAGCAATTTGGTGAACAGTCATCAGCCTTTCCTTCATTTAGGAGGATTATGTGGCGCATCTGTGCTACATTTAAAGTTCCTGGTGGGGCTGTGCGATCCTCGTATTTACTGGATTTTAATCTGTATTTATTTGCTTTGGCATTGGTCTGTCATACCTCTCCACCACAGAGCCCTGTAACGTTATCAGTATCACCAAAATCAGATAAGAATTACTATAAAAGACAGAAAGCAATGTTAGGCTATTAAAATGATAACCATTGTACTTGCTTTTTCAATGTTTTTCTACCACCCTTTAACATCGGTCAAATTTCAAAAACAAAAATAAAAACCATTTTTTAGTTCTTAAAATTTGGATAACAAAAAAATTTAAAAATAAAGTGATGCGCCATATCTCTTCAAAACATCCCTCCTCAGTTCTCGCTAATAAGAAGATAAAAAATAAAAAATAAAAAATAAAAATAATAATTAAAAAAAAACTAAGTGACAAGCCATCCTCATCTGTGTATGATCACAGCACTGGTCTAGTAAGACCACGGTTATCAAATGATTGAACAATCTACGGTTATTCACTTACAATATATATGAATTTTTATGAAATTTTGTGTATGATCACGGCACTGGTCAGGAATCAAGGATTATTAATGGAAAAAAGAATAAAGAGAAAGCATCGGATCATGCACTAGAGTTCGAATCAATCGTAAGAATATATGCAATGCCTCGTATTCTAGTTAGAGTAATTTGGCTGCTTTTCGTGGAAACTTACCTCCCTCATCTCAAGTTTTGATCCAGGCTTTGATCTAGTTTCGACCCACCATATGGCTAAGCATGGCATCAAACCGTAGATCTCGTTCCTCAAACACGTTTCCAGAATTACTTCCCGAGACACCACCTGAAGAACAGTTGGGAACGGTAAGCATTCAATTATATTATAACCAATGAGTCCATTCCCGCTGGCAAGAGAATCATTAGACTGACTTTGGAGAGATCTTAAGTTTCCATCTAACTGTTGGACAATGCTGACTATTTACATTCATTATCCATCTAACTGTTATTGTTCAGCATTGTTCATAATTTTATAGGTAGTTTCTGCAGCGATTTGATCTTTATTCCTTTCCAGATTGACCGTCCCAAAAAATCAAGCTCATTATCCACATCTGATTATATAGAACTCATTGGATTCTATGGAACTGCATTCGATTCAATGGAGAAAGAGAATCAAACAAAAAGAAACTCCAACTGGAATGTCATTATGCTCCAGAAATAAAAAGAAAATCATCGATTAGTCTCTAGCATCCAGAACATCTTCCTTGGCCTCTATGCTTTCTTTTCATGCTTAGACATTGGAAGCCTAAATCAATGGAAGCTAACGAAAAAAATACGCAATAGCAGAGCTGTCTCAATAAATACAACTAACAGAAATAGTATAATGAGAAGAAGGAAAAAGATACGATCTCAGAAGCAAGTGAACTGTCGAACTCAAAGTTCAGGACCAAAAAATCAAATAAAACTGTAACCAGAATCAAATGCTCACATTTAAACTGTTAAAACTATAACCTCAGTTCTAAAAAATCAAACACAACGAGGAAGGAGCGACGGTGATGAACAGTAAACAGAAACATTTCAGTTCAGTGTGACAGAAGCCGACAAACAAAAATAAAAGAAGAAACAGAGACAAAAGCCGATAAACAATGACGAACAGTTACTTGATTGACGATCAGATCAATGAGTGGTAAATGAGCTTAAATCAAAATTAAAGTGGAGAAATACTAGTACATTATCTGAGAAAGATAATCAATAACCGCATGAAAAGAAAGAAAGAAAAAAAAAAAAAAAACCAAAGCGATTAAGAGAAACTGGTAGGAAAGGAACAAAAATAAAGCTCAGTATCGAAACCTGATGATCTACAGCGCATAGGAATTTTACGAAACTGCATTTAATTCAACAGAGAAACATAGTCCTTATTCAATAACCTTAAGCCTCGATTATCAAAGTTCCAGAAAGAATACTAAAAAACAAATCAAAGAAATCAAAGAAACGCAGCCAACGATTAACATAATACAATTACCAGAATCAAGCGCCGCTCTCCCGAGCCTTCTCGGCCGCACACGGCGGAGGTTTCCAATCGACGACACTCTCCATTTTCAACGAAGAGGCAGTGGAATCTACGCTCCAAGCCGGCTTGATTAAAACGAGAAACGATCTTACTGAACGAACTGCAATCGGAGATTCAGAATCATTCAAAATTTGTCGCAGAACCAGCGTAAGAATCAAGAACCCTACGCGTGGGAGGGTTTAACGACTATACTTTACGGAGAAATGGAAACGAAAATTGAAATGACGAATCGGTGAGTCCCGACTCGGTTTTACTGAGTTGCCGAACTCGAGCCGCTTTGAAGTTCCTGAAATGAAAGCAAGTTGGAGGGCGAACGTGGCCGATCCGGTTATTTTCATTGTAATGAAACTTGGCGTGGTATTTATATGTGTTCTTTATTAAACGAAGGTTTGTGATTGGATACATCTAAAATGGAAACAAATTAAACTATATAAAAAGGTGGAATAATATTTTATATTATATATAATGGTAGTCTTGGAAATTTATAAGTATAAAATTTTTATAAATGAAAATAATAATAAAATAAGGAAAAACTATATATAAAAAATATTCCTAAAATGTGTCATTTGTTTTAAAACCAAAGCTTATAATCTTTCCAAAGTTGTAGTTAACCTTTTATTTATAAATGCTTCAAAAATATAATTAGAGGAGAAAATCGATTAAATGAAAAGTCAACAAGTTTGAATGCTTCTTTGTAACGGTCCAAGCCCACCGCTAGAGTCGGTCATCAGGCGGTGCGTCAGCAAGAATGCTAAGCCTCAAGGTGGGGTGAACACCGACTGGTAGGTCAATGAGAACACTGGGCTCCGAAAGGAGGTGGACTGTGAGATTACATATCGATTGGAGAGAATAACAAATGTTGGAGAGAAGAACAAATGTCAGCAAGAACGCTGGGCCTCGAAGGAGGGTGGATTGTGAGATCCACGTTGATTGGAGAGAGGAATGAGTGCGAGCGAAAACACTGGGCTCTGAATGGGGTGGGGATCGTGAGATCCCACCTCGATTGGGGAGGAGAACGAAACATTTTTTATAAGGGTGTGGAAACCCCACCCCATCATACACGTTTTAAAAACCTTAAGAGGAAACCCGAAAAGGAAGCTCAAAAAGGACAGCAGTACGACGGCCTGAGTGTCGTGTCGTAGATGCAGCAATGAGTTCAGAGATGGAGAAAAAAGAAGATTTCAACTGTTGTTATATAAATATATATATAAAAATAAACTGTGGCAACCAAGAAGTAAATCTCTTGTTTTGAAGCTTAATTAGATGCTATGATCCTTCTTCCATGAACTAAGTTTCAAGCTTAGATAACACCTCACTATTACTATTGCTATTGCTTATACGGTTACTGTTACATGAGCTAACAACTGCTCTATCTTCAATCTTGAAGTTTTCAATGCTAAGTCCCAAGTTCTCGGTAGGTCTCACCTTCGGACGAGCACGCTGCGGTGGCGGCCTCATCGTCAAGTTATCTTCCAGAAATGAATCCTTATACTTTCGCTTATGTTTGACGTCCAACAATCCTAAGGCTCTTGCTTCTAGTGCTCGAGCTGTCGGAGGTCGGTTTCGGCTACCGACTCTTCTTGAATTTGTTTGAAGCTGCTGATCAGTCGTGTCCGGGACTTCAGAAGTTTTAACTGCTCGAGGATTCCCTGGTTCCTTGCTCGTTTGGTCAGGCTGACCTTCTCGCATTTCCATTACAACAGGTTCGTCGATTTCTGCGTCAGGAGGAACTGGCAAGTTCAAGTCTATTAAGGTACGAGATTGATTGAGGTCGATATCCTTCGAGTTTCCATCGAGGCTAGATATGGGACTGCATCCAGATGAATCAGAAGATTTCTTCTGAGAAGGAGCTGCACTAGGGAGGACGTTCTTACTAGTATCGGCGCCATCTTTAGAGCAGCAGACAGCGTCCTCCTCTTTCGGTTTGGAAGCTACTGAAACATTACTCGTCGACTTCGAACTACAAGCCTTTAGTCTCCTGCGTTTTTTGGTAACATTAGCTGGTTTCCTTTTGTTGTCGGATCTCGCTTTTTGGCTAGACTGGTTCATAATACCGTTTTGAGGTCGAGTGCCATCGAACGGTAAGGAGCTGCGGTCCTTCGAAACTTCTGCATGTGAATCTGTAGAATCTAGTTCACTAACTGGAAGCACTTGGTTTGAAACATCAGCTGGAGAACAGTGTCCATTCGAGTAGACCATTTGGTCCTTGTTTCTCCTTGAAGCTTGAGAAGTATAGACAGTCTCAGCCTTGTCGGAATGGCGATCCTCTTCCGAATCAGATTCCTCCAATGATCCGTTCGAAGAGTATAGGTATTTATTTTCGAAATAAGATCGTGGGGAAGAAAAACTCAGTACATCGACTGGTAAGCTTCGAAGTTCTCGGAATTTGGTTGCACTTCCATTAGCTAGACTGGTGTCGACGACGGTGAACTTCACAATATCGCTGCTTGATGGAGTTCTTGGCTTGAGATAACAATGGCGTTGCTGAGAAGGAAAGTCCTCGTGGTCCACTTTCGAGTCATCGGTCCACCCATTTTCTTCCTTGCTCTTACAACCTTTATCGACATTGTTGTCGAGCTCGAGCAGTCCAGGATCCAAAGCAACTTTACCGAGGACGTCGCTAATTGAATCAAAATAATGGTTTCCCCTTACCAGCCTTCTCCTTGAAAACTTTTTGATACCCGGGACAAGAAAGACCAATGAATGCTTTGTACCAGTGGTAAAACCATTACTCGGCTGCTCGGAGTGCCATCCCCGAGCAAGCAAACGGGGCCAAACAGCTTCCCAGAAGAGATCGTTAGATCGGGCTTTGCTCAACCTGAAATCTCCTGTTAGATAGTTGACAATTTCTAGGGGAGTAAGGGCAGAACATGCTTTCCCAATAGGTATCTCGGGACGGATAGAAGTAACATGGTTCGACTTTAGAGGATCGATCGAAACGCACGTAAGATCTTGCTTCCCTCGCCCGATTCCCACTGCCTCCACAAAAGCTTCCGATCCAACCTTAGCCTTTAACGCGAATACATATTCCTCGAACGACATTTTGCCATCTCCAAACACTTTTGTGACCTGACAATGCATACAAATATTAGAGCAAAACAAACAAATGCAGCATCACAAGCAATACGGACCGCACGTCCACAGACTAAGAATTACTCGATGGCTTAGCATTACATAAAAACTTGAAGCTACTCGTCTAACTACCGTCATGTTCGCATAACAGAAACTTTAAGTCGAAGCCAAAACGGGCCATTTTTTGTTGTGAATACAAATCTTTCGAAGCGGGGAATAAAAAAGATAACGGTATTATATGCACCACGAACTCAATTAGATTGTTTCTATGTATAAATGCATCACTTCTGAGATAATCAGGAGTTCAAAGAGAAGAAGCTGAGCCATAAAACTCGAGCGACACAACTATCATGATGGTTAAAGAAGCATTATGCTACAAGCGGACTAGACCGAGCGGTGATTTTCTAACAGGTTTCTTTTATGTTTGATCTTAGCTCAAAAGCTCTATACCGAGCCAACGCAAACAACCTATGCAAGTTAAAGTTGGTATACGGTGAAGCATAAGTGTACCTCCGTTAATGAATTTTTGCAATCCTCTGGTACGAGAAGAAGCAACCGAGAAACCAATTCCTGTTGTCGCCAACCTTTAAACAATCTCTGTCCATAGATGCATTTTCTGCCACGAGCTTTCCGACACTCAGACCATCGGCGGTATTTTTCAGATCGATAAAACCTTCCGTAGTAGAACGACAGAATATCCCCCATCTGTTTGCTTCCAACAAACTTCTTTACCAACACAAGGTTTTTCCCAAATATGTACAAACCAAGCAGGAAGCTGGCCTCTTCTATACTACTCCAAGGCTCACCGAACACACCGGGAACCAGATATCGACCATCGATATTATCCTTCTGATCTGTTGCAAGCGCAGTTTCTTTCGGTAAAGCTAAATCTGCTGCTTTACAGACCATTATTGTACTACCCGCCATCATCTCCATTGCCTCAATGTTCAACTTTGCATCATCGACCGTCTGCTCAGCTTTCAAGACCTCATTTTTGTCGTATTTCTCAACCGAATCTTCACATAGCTTATGATCCATCGAATGAACCTCCTCGGAAATCCACATTACCTGAACGGGCAATCCCACAAAAAACTCTTGGAGGTCATTAGCCTGAGTTTCTGCTTCCTTGTAACTCCGAAGCCAGTTTATATCCGATTTCAACAATAGAGGAGGAACTTCAACTTGGTATTCCTCACCGACTCGAGGAGAAACCTCTGGATCTAAAAACTCATCGCATATTTCAGAAGTATCCTGAGAAACCGAACGTTCGGGAGATCTATCCTCATTGTCATTGCTGTCATGGTGATTTTCTTTTACCAAATCCATCTGCCAAAGAGAAACCAGTTTAGCATCTTTCATAAACTCGTCCCTTCCAAATCCGTTTCAGTTCAACGTTTAGCACGTTCTTAAATTCTCGTGACGATCTTAGCTTTGCATCATCTTCTATTACTAATTTTAAAATGACAGGAAACACTAAAACCCTCCAATAGTAACTCAGTTCAGCATTAACAATGAAAAAACCTAGACAACTTCAAATCATTACAAGCTCCAAACCAAAATGCCGACCTTCCTTCGCAATTTGAATCTCCTTAAAAGAAGAACAAACACAAATTCACAAGAACACAGTCACCAATATTCATCAAAATTCTTACAAACAGATTCCATAAACCAGCCCAAACAAGGATTAAGCTCCAAAAATCAAGTGAATTAACTCAATCCAGATCCACTTTCCAGTCCAAAATAAATAAATAACCGAAAGAACAATCTCACTAAGGTAAATGCCATTTGAACAACTTCATTAAGAACAGATGAACAAACGAACAAATTAAGCCACCAAAAACAAAAAAAGCTGAGAAAAAAAGATAAAAAAACGAAGAATCCAACATTCCAATATGCAGAATTCCAACATGATCCCATCAAATTCCAGCCGATAAAACCAGAAACAGAATAGAATGAACAAATCGCAGAGTAAAAAACATAAAAGAACATAAAAGAAAAGAAGAAATCAGTTATAATAATGATACTCGACCTCCATTGATGAACACAAACAGCAGAAACCTCAGAAGCAAGCCCACGTGAAAAGAAAAACAACCTGAAAAAGAAAACTAGGTCCTAAAACTTCATCCGATTACGAAGATTGAAACCAAAAAATAATAAACGTGAATATGAATATAGAAATATATAGTTCGTTTCACATATATTTTGGGTATTTACATGAAAAAAATAAACAAAATAAACGAAAAAAA